TCGTCCTCGCTGCAATCACCAACAAGTATCCACCTCGTTGGGATGGAGACGAATGGAGTAGCAAACGGATGGCTAGACGCCTCACGTCTCAAGAACATATTATGCCGACGTAAGAGCAGGAGAGTTTGATTGAACATGCAACTACATGTATTAGACTCCAAGCTCACAAGAAATTCAAAAATAGACATAGAATTCTCAGCTAGAAATTAACTCCAATTTTCTCCGAATCAGGTATGCTTACCGCGTATTGGTTCAGCGATGTAGTATTTGCCAAGATGAATATCGTTAGTGAAGTTTTTTCTGACTCGATAGTGTAGTCAGCTTCGTTGCTTGTCGTATACTGACCTCCCACCTGATCGCAGGTATGATGCGTTGCGATCCCCGCCAAAGTTCCTCGTCGTAATCAGTGTTGTACCTAAAGCCAACGAGCCTCAACTTCACTCGATACTTGCCCTCATCATTCTGTTGTAGGAAAAGCAGGTGGTCAATGCATTCGTCCATGGGCATGTGGCGATCCTGAATATCTTTCGCAGCCCCATCCCCCCCCCCAACTAGCGTCTAATTGGTTATTCGTATTGCTGGCCAAGTGAGGTATGTTCCCACGGATGAATGTACACCACATGTCCTTGCAGCTTAACCAATTGGATTCTAGGTACTCGTAGACTTGAGGTTTGTCCTACGATAAAGTTTGAAGTGTTTACAAATATCGGTCGAACTCTCGTTCATCAGTGTGTCTCACCACCAACGTGACCAAATTATTTGCATGCGCTTTTAAAACGACATAAAACCATACACCGCCTTGCTAACCTTGCGTTTGAGATAGTCTATTCCCTGAAAATGACAAGGAATAACCATGGCCTCCGGCAATACTTCAGTTAACACGTCAATCTCTGGAGCCATAATCCACGACCATCACTTTGATGTCCGACCAAGCCGGACTATTATGTTTGATTGGCCTGAAAGCACTCTTCATGTTGAGCTTGTCCCACCGTCGATTAAAGCGTGCTGAGCGAAAGAGCCATTCCCAAACTTATTACTCACCATAAAACTATCTTCAAGTACGCAAAGATAGATAAGAATTGGTTACTATGCAACCAATACGTGTAGGATTGTGAAAAATTCACCAACCTGTAAGGGAAAAGGCCACAACCACAGTCATTAGAGCAGGCCGATAAACTCTCCGTACTTGTTAATCTTGGTGCTATGTGTGGTGTGCCTCAGGGAATTTCCAAGCCATGCGTCTCATGTGAGATGTTTGGAAGGTAATGCACTTTGTCAGCTCCGTCGCTCGATCACGAAATATGTTGACAGGTTTTCCGGCTCCTTCTTCAAAATCCTATAATAACTGAGAGACACGACGTTGTCATCAGATGAAGTGTAGGTCTCGCGTCGCCTTTCAGCGGTCGGATTCTCCACGTCCTTTGGTTGGACTGGTTTTCCTGACACCTTTTTCAAGTAACGAAGAATTGTTTCCATTTAGAGCCTCCTGTAATGCACACAAAAATACAATTTAATTAGTATCGAGAAATTTGTGCAGCAAGATCATTTGACCGCATTGCTACAACGGCGTACCTTGCCGCATTTTTTAGGTACCCTGTTGATGCCGGCGAGTCGATTGTACGGTTCTCAGCGCACGTATGGTATTCTATGGGACCCACGCTGTGGTTATGGACATGTGTGTGCTTTGTAACACTGACAATGTACGAGCCGTTATCGAATCGACTAAGCAACGTGTTTAGGCGCCATGCAACCAATGGATCGACATGTGTGGTTTGCTCGGCTTCCATCCCCTCGAGGATCTCCCAAGCATGAGTGCTGATAAAGGTCTTCGAGTGAAACTGCAACTCCTCGTCAAACAACACAGGCTTAGTTCCATGCAGTGTTGATCGTTTGATGGAGTCTCGGTTTCACACGGGAACGGAGGCGCCTGTCCTTAGCTTGTATATCTGGCGAG